CTTTCTCCGCTCCAGGGGGCAGAGACGGGGGGGCTGCACCCAGCCCCAGGGAGCAGCAAGGGGGGGCCCCCAGCACAGAGCCACAACCATGAGGAATGGGGCGGGGGGAGGGCAGGACCCCCACGATGCCCCCAGCCTGACGGAAGCAGCAATGAGGCTGCTCCTCAGGGCAGGGGGGTGGATCAGCCCGATGCTGTGGAGCTGGGGGCGTCTGTTGGCTTCTCCTCCAGATGTGTAGGAAGGAGGAAGCAAGCAGCAGGAAGGGGAGATGGGGAGATGTGGGGTGCACCACCGGGGAGACAAAGTCACAGCTAAGGAGCATCTTCCTCATCCTGCCTGAGCTCCCCGGGTGCAGGCTGTGCCCCAGGGGGAACAGCTCTGCTATAAACAAGCGCCTGCCGGGACTTTCCTGTCCCCACGTGTGACAATTGCCAGCCCCTCCATCCCCTGGTGCCCTCGCTCCCCTGAGGGCTGCACTGGTGGCCCAGGTGCGCCGGCTCGCCGCAATGCAAATGTGGGGCCAGATATAACCCTGCTGGCAGCAATGGGGGCACGGGGCAGGACGTGTACCCACTGCCCCCCCCGTGGCACTGTGCACGTGGCTTCACCCTGGAGACAACACAGGGCTGGGCTCAAACCCCATTTCCCCATGGCTTTGGGGGAGCTGGGCAGGTCACAGCGGGGCAGCACAGAGCAGTGGGTCCTGGGCAGACACTGGTGAGCAGAGACCCACAGCATGAGGTGCTGTGGCCTCACTCAGCTCCTGGACACAGCCCCACAGCCGGAGGGGACGTTTCATGCACCACAGAGTGAGTTTCAACACAATGGGGGAAACGAGTTCCCCTCTGCTCTATCACCACTACAGCACAGCGGGCGATAGGGATCTCTCTGTCATAACACCAACTGAATGTCTGGGGCTTCTAAGGGCCTTTGGGTGTGGGCAGGGGGGGCTTTGATGCATCAAAGCAGCACTTCTGTAGGGAGGAGCCGAGGCAGGGACACCCCCAGGGCTGTGGGACATGCAAGGCAAAGTGACCCCAGCTGCCCACACTCTGCTCAGCCTGGTTCAGTGTCATGTTTTTTCCAGTTCTCCCGGACACGGCAGAGAAATGGTACACGTGGAAATACACATTATTTTTAATAGATGGCTGGGTCAAAGTTCCACAATATGTCATTGTTCAACAGCAATGAGCAACCACTCATTAACGCCAGACAGCGCGGGCTGAACCGAAACGAGCGCCTTGTCCCGAGAGCACGAAAACATGACGGTGCCAAAGTGGGAAACAGCGACTTTGGGTTCCTCCTGAGCCCCACAGAACCCACAGCGCTGCTCCTGCTGAGCTCCCGAGGCCGTGGGCTGCATCTGGTCCTGCCTGAAGGGGAACGAAGGGCAACTGAGGTGTTTTCCTGGATTCAGTGGTGATGTGAGAAGGAAAGCAGTGCGACACGCGCTCTGCAATCCGTGCTGCTCCCCGTGCAAATGGAGAGATGGCTTTTGATGCACGAGGACTGGCGTGCATGGAACCACTGCGTCTCCATGGAGCAGCATGAGGGAACGGGTGCTGAGCAGAACACTGGCCAAAATGGGGACTGCTCCGAGCCTTCCCAAAGCTTCAAAACCAGTTCTCCTTCCTTACCCCCATGGATAAGCAGGGTCTTGCACTCCTGCAGTGCTCTGCAAGGCAGCTGATTGATCCATCCTTCCTGGGACAGGGTCCTGATTGGGCTCAATGATCTTTGAGGTCTTTTCCATTCCGTGATTAGTAGGGAAAAAATGAATAATTTCCACTTTGCACCTTGAGCTTCAGGGAGGCAGCACCCAGAGCAAGGCCAAAGGCAGAATCAAACTGGGTATTTCTGACCCTTCATACCCCATCTGGAGCTCTGCACCCCGACCCCCCCTTTGTGGAGGGACCACCACAGATATCACACTGCCAAAGACCAAAGCAGTGTTGGTATGGAGCAGCACAGGGGACATGAAAAGTCCATGGGAACACATCCTGCTCATACAGAAACACTTCGCCAGGAATAACCACGCTCAGCAGAACCGTTATCACACCAATCTCCCGCACCATGACTAATGATACAGCTGCAGAGCAGTGATTAGATGAAAAGAACCATTTTACAAACCAGCTTCAAAGTCATCACCGATGCCCGTGTTGCAAAGCAGCCCCAGGGAGATCCCCACATCCAAGCAGACGGAGCTGCGCACTCCCACATACATGTGCTGAGATCTCCTGGTACTGCAGTGGGATGGGTGGCTCTGCGTTTGGTGGCCAGGGGGAAACAGAGGGCAAACAGAGGGCACAGTGTGGCCATGAGCTCCAGTGCAGCTTTGTCCTCCTTCATGGCATGCATCAGGGCTTTCCGTCCGTGGAAATGGGGATTTCCCCCAGCTGGCACACGGAGAGCCAACTGGGTACCCCGAACGCATGCACTGCTGACAAACCCCAGCCCCAAAATTGGGTTTTGCTGCTCCTTTTGCTCTGAGCGAGGCGCACGTGGGGAGAGGCTCCAAAGAGGCAGAGTGGTGAGAAATGAGGCGGATGGGACGGGAGTGTGTGTGCTTCAGACTTGGGGAAAACCTCTAGAAACGAATGAATAATCCCTCCCAGGTGAAGTTTTCCGTGTTTTGGTGACGAGACCACCGGGGGTTGTAACAGCAAGAACAAGTTCTTCCTATACATCTGACCAAGCAGAGCAGCTGGCAGTGGGGAACGAAAGCCTTTCGCGCCGTTAAAGCATACACCATGAAAACAAATGCACGTTAAAAAAATAAAAAAAAAACACCTTAAAAGGCTCTTAATTTTTCATAAAGTTCATATAAAAATCAGTCTGTGCCTCTGGTACGCATCACACAGCACCGCTCAGCACAGCAGCAAGGCATGGATGCTACAAAACACTGAATAATCACGTTTAAAAAAAAACCAAACAATAGAAAACAAAAAGGCGTCGTCACCTTTTGGCACGCAAAACCGGGATAGAAAAACAGAGGAGACGATGTTTGTTTGAGCTCTTTAAACCCGGGCGGGTTCCCTGTTGCCGGTGCCCTGGTGACGGCCGTTTATTTGAGCAGCACGCGGTGCTCCCCGCGCGCGATGTGCGAGGAGAACTCGTAGCGGTCGTGGCTGCGGTACCCGCAGACGTTGCACTCGAAGGGGTCGCGGAAGCCGTGGCAGCCCATGTGGATGGTGAACATCACGTAATCCAAGAAGAGAACCCGGCAGTGGTCGCAGCGGTACGCGCCGATGGCCTCCCCGTCCTTGTTGATGACCTTGAAGGCGTCGCGCGGGCACATGGCCGGCGGTTTGATGATGTCGTAGGGTCGGGGGAAATCCTTCAAGGCTGGCAGGCCGTTGCGGGGTACAGGGAGCACCGGACCCTGCGGGAAGGGGGGGTTGGGTCGCTCCTCGTGGTTGCTGTCCGTGTCCGTGGAGTCGTGGCCGCTGTTGTTGGGGGACAAGGCGCGCTCCCGCAGCGGGACGTGGCTTTTCTCATCGCTGCCGTTGGGGACGTCGGCACGGGGCAGAGCGATGGGGTACAGCGTGCTGATGACGGGGACCATCTCGGGGGTGGGAGCCGGGGGGGTCTGCACTAAAGGGCGCAGGGCTTCGGCCCCCAGGAAGGAGATGGCGTTGTTGATGGCCTGGTCCATCATGCGGCCCTGCACCATGTCGCCTTCCTTCTCGTACACGAAGGATGAGTTGTAATTGACGTCAAAGCTGTGCCGCTTCTCGCCTGCCAGAGAGGAGATGCGTCACGTTAGCAGGGGGAGAAAGTGGTGTGGAAGCTCTGTGATGCTTCTCCAGAGGGCTGCAGCCTCTGGGAAGCAAAGGGGAACGAAAAATCTGCCGCAGAAATGGGGAACATCGGTTCTGTTGGCCTTTTAAAGACCAGGCTTGGGAACAAAACTCAAATGGAGGAGGTGGTGGAGATATGGGGCAGATCAGCACCAGCACTGTCAGGCTGTTCTGGGATTTAAGGGAGAGAATATCCTCAAGAAAATCTTCCATGCGTTAATTTCCATCATTTTTTCCTACAAAAAGTTAACGCCATTGATAAAAATTGTTGTAAAAGAGCCAACCAACAAAGAACCCAAATACTCCATTTTTTGTACCAAGCCTCCATTCTTGCCCTGTCCCCTTTCTCATACCAACACCAGCAGAGACTGAATGCAGCCCACGTTACTCCGCACCCACCCAGCAGTCATTCCTTACACGTCCTTGGACATCAACGTGTTGTTAAGACAATTAAACCTTCTGACCTTAAGACAATTAACCTTCTGACAACCACAGCCTGCCCCGCTGTCTTTGCCCTCAACAGAGGTTTCCAGCCATCCAACAGTTATCTATCTATGCGTATACAGAACGTGTCTGTAGAACCCAATGAAAAGAGGAGCAAGGTGTGACCCTGTCTGGTGTGATGGAGCTCTGTGAGCTGTTGGGTTGGCAGACAGAGGGGATTTGAGTGTGGCCCCAGCCCTGCCCTGGGCTCCAGGAGGGGCCGTGGGCCGCGTGGGCAGCGCAGCAGAGCCTCTGCACCAGGTGCAAGGAGGGGAGAAAACTGCACCCAGAAGAGCTCGAGTCACTTTTTGATGAGTATCTAGAAATAACTAACCGAATTCTGCGGTTACATGAAACAGAATCATTCACTCAACAGCAACAACAAAAAAAAAATAAATAAAAAGGATGAAGTGCTTCATGTGCAACTGGCTTTCAAGCATCAGATCCACTAAATCTCTTAGTTACGGTAACTGGAGAAGTGCAGATGTTTATCAGTCACCTGTCAACACCATGACTCAATGTATATGAAACTCTTCAGGTTTCACTGCAGAAAACCAGGAGCTCACGTTTCTCTTATAAAACACTCAGAAAGGTTAAAGAACCACAAGGGTAACTGCTTCCAGCCCTCACCCAACTTGTGATCCATCTTCACACAGAAGGCAACAAAGTGATATAGCACATTTGTGTGACTCATAGAGCAGTTCTGGGCAAGTGAGATGTGAAAAAAAGTGAAAGAAAAAAAAAAACACACACGTGTAGCAAAAGCAAAAATACAGAGAACTCCCTGCAGATTTGGAGAGAAAACTGAGGGCAAAGATGCAGGAACAGGGAAAGGAGCGCGTGGTGAGGGGACAGGTGGTGCTGTGCCCAATGCTGGGATGCTTTGTCTTTGCAGAAGGAAAACTGAATGGATTACTCTGAGCAAAGCTGCCACAGGAAGCATCGTGAAGTCGTTGCAAATGGCCAAATTAATGCATGCTGAAAGCATGGGGCTCTCTGTTGGTTTACAAAGCAGGCAGTGGGGAGCTGAGCATCCCCGTCAGAATTCACACTTGAGCCGTAGCGGATGACACGTCTGCTGTGCTGCTGTGCTTGCTCTAAAACACACAGCGGCTCCTGCAAGGTGATGAGGTGTGGACACTGGGAACAGGGAGGGCAGCGGCTTCCTGCCCCGCTGAGCAGGGCAGCCCACTGCTCATCAGCCCTGAGCACAGGGGTGGGGGGTGATGAAGCGTCGGAGCAGCGCTGCACCTCCACCACCATGAGAAATGTCTGAGCCAGTGGTCTCAGGGAAAGGCTGGTTTTGCAAAGGAGGAAGCGGAGGTCTACGAGCAGATGGTGGGAACTGGCAGAAACGCATCAGCTGCGCTGCTGGTGTTGACTTGGGTCAACTTGAGGTGCGGCTCCGCGCCGAAGAAAAGTGGAAATCTACAGCAAAATGTGAAACACAGAACGATAAAACTTCCATTGAACCCTTCTTCCTTTGCAGCTCGAGGAAAGGCTGAGGACAACAAAAGCCTTTGAACAAAGGAGGACACAGTGCAGAGAACATGCTCTGCTGCCCACCTCCTCATCTGAGGCTCCTAGTTGTGTCACTGGAGGTGAGAAAGCAAAAACATCAGAGCAGACACGATTCCTCATGCTTATATGGACCACAGCAGAGACCCCAAGTCATAAGGAAGGGTTTTTTCCTCCCAGTCAATACGATACAGTGCCAGCCCAAACCAAAACAGGGGCCCATTCCACCCAAGATGCTTGCAGAACAGATCAGCAGGATGCTTCATGCAGCAATTGGTCCCAGCGATCCCTATGGAGCCCTCCCGACTCAGGATGCTCTACGAGTGGCTGCAGCAGCAGCAGCCGTGTGCAATACAATGCATGCAGACTGAACTGATAGCAGTGGTGAAACACGACAGGCTGGAGCTGAACTCAGCACCAGAAAAAAGGAAGCTGAAGGTTTTCAAAAACATTTGCATTAATGTTTTGACTCACAGTCTGACATCTGAGGTCCGACTCCCAGCCAGCAGACTCAGCACCGAGTACCCAAAGGAGCTCAG